GTGGGTTGGTAGGTGTGTTGTCAAAATCCATTAATTCAAAAAGGGACAGCTACATAGTTTCAGTTGGTCATTGAGGGTTTTGAAATTGAGGTTTTTATACAATTTATATATAAATCGGGCTTATACAGAAAGAAATTTCAACATAACATACCGTGAGCATAAATTATCAGATGCAAAATTCAGCTATATATATATATAGATAGACAAATAGATTTTTATTCAGGTCGATATCAGTACTACAAAGTTAATATAAATACATATTAACGTATTCCAAAAACACTTTATTGTGAGATTTTCACTAAATTGTTTTACAAAAACGCAACACGTGTTTCGCCATACAATGGCTTCATCTGGNGTTTTTACCTGATTCATTTATTTCAGTTTTATTATAGTCATTTTTGGCAGTTCTCATTAAATTACCTAAAACGTTTCTATAGTGTCTATATTCGTTTTTATGTTATTCGCTATGTGTCCTTACAGATTTTTGCTTCAAATAGTATCTATGATTAATTGAATTGATTAAATCAAGCGTTATCCAGGGTTTCAGTTTGGTCTGGTTTTTCAACATACTATTTGATTTTATTAGCGTGCTTTCATCAATATATAGGGACATTTTTGTTAATAAAGTTCGCGTAGAATATTTCCGGTTCTTCGGTTTTCATCTCTGTTTCCCAGTTTTCTATCTTCAGCATTTTTCTAATTTACTACGGTTGATATATGTTCTATTTATGTTTAAATTTGTTATTTATGATTTTCTTGTAATATTATCAGTTTTAATAGATAGGAGGAGCGTGTCATGATCAGTTATACCAGTTTTGAAAGTGTAAGTTCGACATCTACAAGAAACAATCCACAGAATGAATGAAAATTTCACAAATACGTGAATCAGGTATCTTATCACTTGAGCACAAGTAACGGAAAGCAAATGGTATACATTTTTGCACAAATTGAGAGGCTGTACTTGTAACCGCCGTGGTCATTCTGTGTCATGTACAAATTTTCTCTCTCCAGACAGGATACACCTGAAAGCTAAATATTAGCTAGTGTGTGTTTTAATAGAGATGATAATCTTCTCCCACCATATAAATCAAAAGAAACTAATAATTAGGTTTCTCCGAGAGCGAATGGGAGTAAATAAAGAAACTATGAAAATTTTCCATACATGCAATAAAGGAAGGAAGATAAATTTGTTGGAAGCATTGAAAACAAATGAATTGTATAAAAACCCCAATTTCAAAACCTTCAATGACCAACTAGATCTGTGCACCTCTCCTTTTTTTGTGCAAAATGATATACTATTGATATTTCACTCTGTATGTATATCCATAATTACTATCAGTATGATTTGACGACAAGAAATAATTGACTGAAATAATTAATACTAAACACATAAGTAAGTAATACAAATCTGTAAGTAGTATCTACTAGCACTCTTTATGAAGTTAGAACCATAAAAAAGAATTTTTTTTGTTTTGTTACGTAGGTGGCTGTGGCAAATCTGAATATTTTTTCAAATTTAAACAACTTTTCCAAACAAACTTTTCAATAATGTCGAAAGTAAGGGTAGTTTACTTCTGATCAAAATTTCTATTTTTTATTTTCCTCTGTACACCGTTTAGAAATTTAGTATTTTGACAACTCAAATCCAAGTTTCCCGCAATGCACCAATTTTCATCAGCAATAAAATTTTCTGACAAATGGATAATGAAATAGTTTTCCATATGGTGAAATTCACTGAATAATGGTTAGTGAATAACTCACTGTTGGTTATTCAGAAGGGATTTTGAATATTTGCATTTATTCATTTCCAGAAATTCTAGCAGGTTCAATTTTCATCTTCCATTTTCTGTGTAGCGTAGTCCATGAATTGAAATCTAAAAGGTGGAGAGAATAGCTCAATTTGAAATTCCTTGAAGTCCTTACTGTTTGAACTTGTGGCATGATTAACGTGACCATTTATTTTTTTTGCAAGAGCCGGATATCTACGAAATTATATGAGGAGAAAAGTTTTTATTGTTTTACAGGTTTTTCATCATGTTAGAAGAAATTACACAAAATGATGAGAGCACTGAACACAAAATATTTAAGTAGGCACGTCTTACTAAGCCCCAGTAGTGGCGTGACTTCTATGTTGTATTTTTTTTTATCGGCTGAACAAATCTTTTTCAAAATATCGGGTCTTGGATTTTGGATAAGTGTGAAACTACCTGCACGTCGTCTTGAGTTTATTTAGGTTGGAGTCCAGCTCCCTTACCCTTTTGGCTGATCTTTGTCCAAGAAGGACAAATGAGTTCATGACTGAGGGGATGTTGGCGGTATGAAGTCCTCAGACATCAGTACCGCCCTTCACAGGGTGCCCCTACCTTGCTGGGGTGGGCATGTGTGTGAAACTTTGTATTTAACTTCGTAGTCAAAATATCTTTCATTACTGCGTCACTTCACTGTGTTTCATAACTTGTCCATATTTTGTTCCCTTCGACAGGTGCATTACTTCCAGGCAGACACATAACGTATTCCATAAATGTAGAAAAGTTTGTTTAATGAAGATTGTTGGTACCATAGTGCTGGAATAATTCAACTCAACGGTTTTCAGTAGAAACGTTCTAGATATTCCAGCCATAGACTTTTTTATCTGTCGCAAAGTTGGCAATGAGTGAAAACTGGTCAAAGACTTTCGTATCTTGGCTGCGTGATTAGTAAATCCAGCATTTTCTGTATCTCTTCCCACGTATGCACTTTTGTTAAATTTGCTCATTCAAACACTTCTAGTTCTGTTTTGGATTGACAACACAGCTCCAAGTATTCTTCGCTTGTTTAATGAAACTCAGTCGCTGCAGTTTTTATATTCTGATGGTCAACAGCAGTTTCCCTTTTTCCTAATTCTACAAACAGGTTACAAACAATGTGAGGAAGGAGAATCGTATTCTCTTTTTGTGTCAGGTTATCTCGAAAACGATTAATTTCCTTGGCAAACTTTACGGTCGACACATTTTGCTCTTTGATATTCGACAGAGATTTTCGAAAAACATCTTTTGAATCACTAAATCACTCCAGGCGCAGACATTAATGCAAGCCACCTTGTTTTACTGTATCCCAACAGTTTGTGACACTCTATATCTTGGTAAAATCACAAAACTCTTCCAAAGCTTCTACTCGAACGCTATAGATGTAAAAAATAAGTAACTTTTTACTTTGATGCATTGGAAATCAACAAGAAGACAATCAGCGGCAGTTTTGATTACGTTGTGGATTACGTGAGTTCCACATCCAATTCCAATAAGCTGTCTGCCGAGTGATTCGTAAAATTTTTAGTAAATATTATCACTTTCTTGCCTTATTTTTTCTCCACAAAAAGTCACAATTTTTTTATTGAAGTCGTTCAAAGACAATAAATACTTCCTTCAAATAATCAACAATAATTTGGGATGTTTCGCCTGGCTGCTCCCGAAACTCTAAAACCTTCACTTTCACGCCTTCTTATAGTAAAATATAGCGAATCAAAACTGGGAATAATTTATTTGAGCCACGGTTTGGAGCATCCGTTAATGAAGTTATGCAGTGAGCTTTACGTGAATACTTTTTTCCGTGACGGGAAAAAAGTTTGACATTTTATCTCTGATGACAGGTAACAAAATGTCACTTTTTATGAAATTACTTTTTTCCCCGGGAAAAAAGTGTGTTGTCTCCCTCCGCTTCGCGTCGGGAGACAATACAACCTCGAGCTAAAATCTAATACTTTTTCCCTTGTATAATAAATAACTATTTAAATCTTCGGTTGCCATAGTTGACACTACATTTACAACAATAGCTTGAGACTTTGTACGTGCATATCTGAATTTTTGCTTAAAGCATGCTTGAATTCAATGAGAAGAGACGCCATTTGAGCGAAAACTGTGATTATGTTGCACGGTGTGAAACGCTCATCTAACCTCAGCTACAGCAATATCCAAAACCTTAGAAGTCGGAAAATCGGTTCTCTTAAAAAACTAGTTATTGACGAGTTGAAACAGGAGCTCAATCGGCAAACCTGTGTTTTCCTGATTTTAAATGTTTTTCTATATCACTTGCACCACCAAGTCCAACACTAAAATCAGTACGACAATTTTCACAAGTAACAGAATCTTAGTTTCGTCCGACTTAAACTAAAACAAAACATTGCGGGTGGGAGAGGTGTATCTTTTCTGATCACACGCGTTAGCTCGAAATAAACCAAAGAGAAACTGACAATAGATGTGAAAGAAAAATGATCTTTCAATATTGATGAAAGGGTGATATGTGTTTTCGAATCAAAATATAAAAACAGAAAGTACTTATGATTTTTCAAAAGTCAAACGTAATTCCTGTCTCACTATCGGTCGATTTATATAGGCCAATCTATATATGATGCCGATAGGTGCGTTTTGTTCTCACTATTGTTAGGTATTCCAAATTGAGGCATCCATGCCTGAAGTTATTCGCCATTTCTTCTTAACATATTTTGATTGTGTAGAGAAAGTGGATAACTTATGATAATAGGCGAATCGCGCCTAATATCATAAGAGAAGATCCGTAAAGGTAACATTACTGTGGAATATTTCGATCTCTAACTTATAGGCTAACAGTGTTCACTCTCCGTAATATAATTTCCGTTTCAATATTCACATAAAAATAAAATTCGTTTACAACGCACATGAACAGATCCGTTAATGATTCTAGATTCTTTATAATTCATAAAAGTAATCAAATTTGGTAACATTCCATAGTCTGAAATCATATTTTATGTTAAGTATGATTACAATTCACATCTACCTCGTGATTTACATCATCACTTCGTACAATAGGCAACACTGCACTGTCACGCGAAGAGCGATGTCAATGGTATTTAGCGTTCTTTCAAAAGTGTCCCACGTTGATAAAATCAAGTGAGCCATATTTGTTGACAGATTTGTATGAAATGCAAATCTGCGAATCGGTTGCTACACCAGCGTATACATAGTGTACGGAGATATTGCTCAATCATACTCCTGTAGCTTTCGGTATCGAAGCTCTTTTGACCAAACTCAACTGGAATTAGTCAGAATCGGTTAACGACTTAGTGTAATGATGAGCGGATTGAATATCACGAAAAAGCTGTTATATAATAGTCTTACCAGCCATGTTTATTTGAAAGTTTTTGAATTTCTGAATGTTTTTGACCAATGTGACTGTTGATCCATGTCAAGATCATATGTCAAGAAATAAATGACACAATTTATGAAATTTGGATATCAATTTGGTGTTTATTAGTGAAAATGTTTCGAATCGTTGAGATAAGAATGTACACCTTTTTGATATTTGGAAATGTATATTTTTATCAATTGATGTTCGACCTATAGTTAACACATTTTCTTTGTTTCAGCAAAAGATAGCTCATGACATTATGAGGATTCCTACAAAACTCTACCTTATAGTGATTGCTTGTGTATTCATAATACTAGTACAATACCATATATACAACCCATGGGTGATACCTCAACTGAACAATAATGTTATACGAGAACAAATCATCGATAGGAAGTTCCAATTGCCGGTAAGTTATTCATGTTGATTTCAAGCTTCATCAAAAGTTCAACTCTGATTACGATGTTGGGGAATAGTATTCACATAACTGAAATTGTAACAAAAATTTATATCTATCGAATTTACATAAAATGATGCCATGTGAATATTAAATATATTATTTTGCAAACAACTACTGTTCAGATAGTCATCACTACATGTGAATTCATTAGTGAGATATTTTCTGGAGTTCTACCGACCTACTCAGTAGAGTGACCGGAATAGTTGATTCCAAAGAAACACCATATATCATATAGACGAAAATGAAAATTTTTACAAGCTCTTTGACAAGTGATCTTTGATTAGAAATTCCCTCGCTACTATACTCCATTTGTTCGATTCGGATGAAATGAAAAACAGTAACCGAAAGGAAAATGATAATTTAGGTTTTGAAAGCAAAACATTCAGCTTTCCATTCTCAGTGAGATGAACTGTGTGAATGAGTGGCATGTTACTCAAGATAAGGGTACGATTTCATTCATTGATATTCATGAATCGAAAACATGTGGTATCAGAAAATTTAGTGTACTGGATGAACTTGTTGAACATTTTCAAAATTCAAAAGAGAATTTGTTTGTTGTCTGTTATACAAATAAAAAATATCTAAATTCTCAACAAGTAGGATTACATTTCTGACAGAATCAATAGAACTTCATTCATCGAACCTCGGCCATGCTGCTTGAATATACAGCATACATTTCTTGATATTCTTTGCCTTTCCAACCTTTCACAATCTGTAAAATGAAATTAGGTTCTTAAGAAAAAGCTCTTTCAATGATTCTGTTAAGTAAAGAGAACAAACTTAGGTTGACAGGTCGTGATAAGTCAGTTGATGATATTCAGAAATATAGCCTCCGCTATCGCAGTGAACACATATACCACTGACGATGTCTGCTGCAGTAGCAGAAGAAACATTTATTACTACAGGTTCCATTCGACCACTATCTACTAGCCTGGATTTTGTTCTTTTTATCGTAACTTCGACCTATATTTTCGTTAAGTTCATTTATGAGCACGATATGTAAATACGATATGATACTGACTAATTGGTTTATATTACACAGTTATTTGGAGGTGAAATATTTGGTTTGTCCTTCATTAGTTATGCGCAATTTCTTTGTTGATCTATAATAATTGGTCATTTGGATTGTGAAAGGTCAGAGATTCAAAAACCCCAACGAAAATTTGCTGAAACGGAACTTTTGAGTTTCAAATGTCAGTGTATCCTCTTTTGAGTTGAAGTAAAGACAAATGACAAGGTAGAATATTAATGATTTCAAATTCATGAGCTAACTGAACTCAATACGCTGATGCGGATCTATTTCTCACTCAATTTGGTATCATCATACCAAAGGTATTCCAACAGGGATTTTCTGGGGAATGTTCCTCAATTTGGGTTATTACAGCAAATGCAAGTTTGAATCACAGAATGTCTCGGAACTCAGAACATAAGTAAACAGAACAGCACGCCTCTGAAATATGTCATCTTTGTTTGTCTCATACAGGTAACAGATTCATTGTCCTCTATTAGCTATAACCGATGTTGCCAAATGGTGAAATATAAACGAATCCCTTTAAATGTTGAATGCATTATTTCATTTCTCTATTTTAACTATTTAAATAATTTTTTAATGAAAAAGGTTGAAATGATAAGTTTGAAATGCGTTGTTTTAGAGGTCTTTAATGAAAACTACTTGATATTCGTCAGGAGGAACATTCCCCATTGAGAACGGCTATTTTGTTGAAGCTATATCTGTTGTATTGGTTTTCATTTATTCAGTCTGTTCTGCCAAATCACCATGAACGAATATAGCATTCAACAACACGTGGAAATAATAAAATTCTTTTATCAAAATGGGTTTTCTTTTCGGGCAACGGCCCTACCAAGAGGACTATTCGAAATGTTCTCTATATATTTGAGTTCACTGGTTCAGTAAACAATTGACCAACGTCGACAAAACGCAAGATCTGCTGAAAACATTGCCGCTGTCTGTGAGAGTGTGCAGGATAATCTGTTAAAAATAGTTCATTTTCAATAACACTGTTTTGAACTGTTCCATTTGATTTTTAGTTTGCCCTGTAGACGTGTCTAGATATTGATTTTTCTTTTACGAAGTAGTTGTTTATTATGACACATAAAAAGTTATTACGCAACCCATTTTCCTCTTTCGATTATGAACGTATTCAACTATGTGAAAATAGTTGAACCGTTGCTGCAAAAAGTTCAACAGGTTATGGGCTCAGAACTGTAATCAAAATAGTATATCAAAGTCGAGAGAGGTGTGAATTTCGACAAGGCAATTTAGACGCAAAGGTGAATTGATATTTAGTTGAAAGTTGAAAATATGTGGCAAGCTGTTGATCCTGGTTCATCGACTGATATTACTGAAGGACTTGTCTGGTTCTGATCGTTTATTGTAAGATTTCAGAAGTACAGGATAATAGAGAAACAGCCTTATAGTCAGCAGTGACCAGAGCAAAGCCTGATTCTCTGTTTTTTAAACAGTCATGAAAAATGAACAGGTTATCGTATTGACCAAGAAAAATGTAATAATCAATACAAGAGCTCTTCTATATCCAATCCTCGATAAGAGCTGGAAAAACTTAATTGTACAGCAACAATGATGCCATGTTTACATTTTGAAATCATATATTCTGAAATTTAGCTGAATTAATGAAATTTTTATTTTAATCAGTGAGTAACGGTGAACCGTATAACTACTGCTTTTTTATGTCCTTTTGTAACTAGAATTAGAGACCGTGCAGTATCCCTTGGAAGTTATTACTGATCAACCTTCATAATAATCAAAAAAATATGAACAAGGTGAGGATTCAGATTGAGTGCCCAGATACTTGAGTGTCGAAATATACCTCGTCAATAATTTTTTTATATTCATTTTGATATTTGAAGATATTATCATTACGTCACTATATTTAATTGAAATTCTGTAAGTACATTATTTTATGAATCATCATACTGATTACTAAGATATATTTGATTCTGATGAATACTTATTTTAACGTTGGCAATTTCAATTCAAAAACCTCCGTCATACAACTGTTATAGCCTGTTGGGCTTCGTCAATGGCTGGCAGACGGTTTCCTACCAAATAATTCATTGATTGCACATATTACCAACCACTTCGTGAATTATTGAGTTTTGAAAATAGTTGATAATGAAGTGTTATGTTTGAAGGTGGTTTGACAATGTTTCATGGTGAATTTCATCACTTTGGACCATTGTCTGATATGATATAATATGATTTGAAATCCCTGAAAGAACAAATGAAATTGAAAATGGAAAGAATAGCTGAAAAAACAATAATATCAAACAAAGTATTCTGGAATGTCATAACAATATTCAATATTCAACCATTCCGTTGAAGATCCTTTTTGATGATGCCTATTTTTTTCTCGAAACCTTCCTTCGTATTACAAAGTTCGAAAGCAAGATCTACTAGACTACAGGCCAATATATTTAATGTGTGTACCTTCCAAGATATTTGAACAAATTATTTTTGCTCATTTATATGAATATTTCGAAAAATATATTATACCCCAACAACATGGTTTTGTAGCGAATAAATCTATCAGTACAAATCTGTTCATTTTCACAAATTATGCATATGAAACTTTGGAAGCCAAATCGCAACTTGATGTAATATATATAGATTTTCGAAAGGCGTTTGACACAGTTGATCATGATGTACTTACTCTTGTGTAAATTGAGTAACTTTGGGCTGTCATATAATCTTCCTAAACTGATAAGAAGTTATTTGCAACATAGATATCAAATGATAAAATATAATGGCAATATATCGGGTAGATTTGAACCCAACTCCGGAGTTCCCTAGGGCTCTAATTTGGGGCCCCTTCTGTTCGTCTCTTCATTAATGACCTACCATCAGTATTAAATTATACTGAAGGTGCTTTGTTCGATGATGATTTTGAATTTTATAAGAGAATACAAACTGTTGTAACTAGTCTCAAGCCTCAGTTGAAAAGGGGAAGAAAAAAAATGTTACAAGGTTTGTCTCGGGGACCGACGCTCAAAATCCCTGCATGCTCGCGGCTACGCTCGAAGTGGAGATGGTCGTGGGTATACTACAGGTGAGCCTTTAGGTGATTAAGACAACAAGTTACTTTACCTGTACAAAAATGTGGGCGCCACCTAATTTCCTTCCACAGCAGGTTCTATCTTAGCTTATTTCTAAAGAACTAGGAAATCAGAAAAGGAAAAGCCAATTCCCAAAAATATAACCCTGTATATTTGAATAAAATTTCAAGGGACAACCAGTACAGTTCGAAACTTGTGTGAGCTAAGAATTAACGAGGTCTTACCTTTTAACGTGTGATTCCTAAGATAATCCTCAACATAGGATGGTTTTAGAAACTTGCAGATATCTTTGGATATGAAATATTGCGTAACGACTTCAGTCGTTCACTCTGACGATACTTCTGCAACCTTCTCTCACCAACTCTCCCGAAAGACTGTCCTCGAACCGGAAACCTCTCACTTTCCAAGTCCATTTCGTGACATTTCAAGTAGTGTTACCAACGGATCTCTTTCGTTCTACTCATAGAGGTGCGTTTTCTTTACGAATACCAAAATTCACTTGAACCCAAATAACAGAAATTTCGACTATATCCTAACGAAGCAAATAAGGCAACACTCATACAATACTACCATAGTTTAAACACAATCTAACTCCGATCATAACCAAGATTTTCCAAAAAAAAACCATCAGTTTGTATCGCTGTGGGCAAACCACCTTTGAACGGAACGCACTTCCCAATATCGTCTCGTCGTAGTTTGTCATCGTGATTTAAACACCAATCGCACTAAATGCTAATCAGGTGGATGGTGTGAAATGTATTGGGGCGAGCAGGACAGGACTTGACAGTAACCGCAATTTGTTTACGAACCTTTTTGACACGTCACACTGTTATAGACTGTGTATCATTTCAGAAAGATTTAAATAGCATTTTTGAATGGAGCATAAAAATAAACTGTATTTTAATGTGAGAAAATGTAGTATTTTGTCTATTACGCGATTGAAAGAACCTGTTATGTTCGAGTACAGAATGAATGAAGAGGCCCTAAATCGGTGTTCTGAGGTAGAGGATTTGGGAATGACCTATGACCATCTACTGTCCTTTTATACACATATTGAAAATATAGCTAAGTCTGCGAATCGATTGCCAGGTTATTTAATTGGACGTTCATTTAATTCTACCAATGTACATTCTCTTAAAATTCTGTATTATAGTTCATAGTAAGGCCCAAATTAGATTTTGGTGCAATAATTTGCCATGGAGAATACCAGATTACATTATTATTGCTAGAAAAAATTCGAAACCAAATTTTAAGATACCTATATTATAAAAAGCATCATGTATATCCCGATTATAATGTAGTTAGAATTACCCAACTTAGATATTAATTCAAAATTATATCTTTGGAAGATCGAAGGTTGCTTAACATTCTGATGTTTTTGTTTGAAACTATTAATAATGAAACTAATTCACCAACGTTACTTCCTTTACTGCGATTTAATGTGCCTCCAAGGAGAATGCGCTCTTCTGTTACATTTAATATCACTGTTTTACATATAATTACTAGAACTCCTCTTGCAACCATGTGTCGATTAGCAAATTATACCACCTCATTGATCTGGATTGGACAATAACTCAAAATATGTTTAGAACCATTATAATCAAACAAACTATAATTTATCATCATAATGCTAACTGATTATAATACCTATTCAAATAAATTTTCTTATTTGTTAAATTGAAACTAATATTGTAAAAATCATAGTGTTAAGTTCACTTTTACTTTTATTTTCATTTTCATTTTTTGAGTGGGTTTTTGGTATACAGATGTTTCGGTGTATCAGTGTCGGTACTCTTTACTGATACATCTTAGAATGGCCATTCGTTGTGGACTTCCTTCTCCATTGTGAAGGTGATGGAAGGTCTTATGCTGTTGATGTGCTTCCATTGTGATGTGCTAGTTGTGTATGTCCGTGATGATACTATAGCATGAAGGTGTTTTCAACGTTTCTCAACCAAACTCGGGGTTTGTGGACGTCTTCATTATACCACTCCATATATATGTTGTATATAACTGGTGAAAGTGGCGATCCCATTAGCAGTACCTCATCTTGCGTGAAGAATTCGTGCTTTTGTTGGAAATAGTAGTTCCGTACACAGCATCATAGTAATTTCATGATTACTTCTATAGATAAGTTAGTTCTATCTTCCAGGTCCGAACTAATGAAATTCATGGAGTTTTATATAAATTGATGGATGTAGCCGTTACTGCGTGGTAGGAGATCATTATGAAAAATGCGGATTAAAACTACCTATATTTTTATACCACTTTCTATGAATATGTCCCTGTCGGACGAAATTGCTGTAACGTTAGTTACAGCAATATACAACGTGGTATAAAAACTAAGGAAGTTTCATTGTTCATGAAGTGTTATACCTATTGCTCATTGTTTCAATTCAATTTATAACTATGATTTAAAAACACGAAGTCACGAATACTGATAAATAAGTGAATAAACATTTTCACACATTTTTTTATTTCAGTGCTGTTATCTAACTTTCGCTGATGGATCTGATTTACCACCTCTGTATATCATAACACCAACATATCGAAGACCGGAACAACTTCCGGAGTTGACTCGATTATCTCATACTCTAATGTTAGTGCCGAATTTAACCTGGTTAGTGATAGAAGATGCCTATGAAACCAACGAACTTATTGAAAATATATTGAAAAAATCTGGCCTGACGTATCACTATATGGTTGGTGAGTATGAAAATATATAAAGGATCCAGCGGGAAATAAAAGTTATTCCTGTTTAATCTAATCCCTGAATGAATTTCGTTTTTGCTTTCACCATGATTATGACCCTATAAAAAACTTCAATTATGCCTGTATCTAGTTTGCGTGGAGTCGCAAAAAAAATCAAGTAGGGCGTCAAGAAATTTTTTTGTGGCAAACACAAATCTACGGAATCATACTCATACGTATCATCGCATCGGAGGGCGAATTTATGTTTAGTATCAGTATTGCATCCGTGCGGGCCGGGATGGGTCGCTAGTAAAAATATAAATAGTGAAGAGCTCTAATGCGAGATATGATTCTGAGAGGAAATTCGATTTTCAACTTTCAACATATATATTCACATTTCATGCAAAAATAAACACGCACAGTTCAAAATAAGCCTCATGAAATTAAAACAATGACATATGCAGATTTCTTGTGCTGAGGTTCCTAATCAATTGGAATCAGATTATTTTCGATTTTACTTTCGGTGGTCCGATTCTGCTACAAGTAGTATCATGAAATCTCCTGAAGACTAACTAAATATTTGAATGTTCTCTGAGGCCGACATAGCTGAATCATAAGAATACCAGTGAGGATGACAGAATTCCATATAAGTGCAATTTTTTACCATTCATTTAATGTAGAATTCCTATGAATGTTACCTGATTTTATTCCATAACGAACGTTTGGAATTATATATATAAAATCAAAAGATAAGTATTTTTTGATCATTCCCATATTGATTCCAATTTAAGAGCCACCGATCACCGATAGACAGCTGTTTCAGCCTATTGGGCATCGTCAGTACCGGGCAGGTGGTCCTCGATTGAAGACAAAATGTGAAAAACCAAGAAAAGTACTTGATAAAAATAACTGCGTAAACGCAAGTGAAACATAAGTGGAACCACCTATTGGTGTGACACCCAAGTCAACTTGCCAAGTTTTTATGTCAATGTTGGTGGTTTGACCAATCAACCGACAACTGCGGTTAGGGGGCAAAATAGGCTCAAAATTCCTTCAGATTCGTGATCAGGACTACCAACTTACCACGATTACACTTCTTATGGAAACACCCCCGTATCTTCCATAATATTCGAGGTGGCCTATCCTTATAAACTTTATTTTTCAAGTTTCCTCATAAATGAAAATCCAGTGGAGTTAAATATGGGGAACGTGGTGGCCATACTACGAGAGGGGTATTGGGTCCTAATTTCCCTTCATTTTCCGTATTTTGATATCAATATAAGTCACAAAAAGGATTTGAAGCTTTATAACTCCTATTTAATTATATGCGAGCGCTTTCGAGAGATGGTTGTGCTGTCATCATCTAGGCTGTACTTAAACTGAACATGTCAACCTGTTGTTTATCCTTTTATGCGGTCTGAATGCCTCAGTGCAGGTACTCCAGGTACTTTAGGTAAATTTGCCTGTATTTGGGTTTGTATGGAAACACACGTCATACAAAACAAACATAATTTCCCCACACCAGCAGAGTTGGGGTCGGATACAGGAAAAAAGGATCCGGATACGGATACTTTCAATGTATCCGGATACTTTTTAAAATTTTACGGATACTTTCACCTAAAATGTACTCGGATACAAGTATTCGGATACTTTTTTCGGATACTTTTACGGATACTTTTAGATTTAGTTAAAATAGTGTTTTGATGTATACAAGTAAAAATACTAGGGATGAATATCAAAAACAAAAAGTGATAAAAAAG